CTTATGTAATTCTCGTTGGCACCAAAAGTTTAAAAAGTGTTGATAGGGGACAGAATGCGGTCGGACCATCATATAATTGACATAATTGACATATACTCTTACTGAATTTCCACGTGGGCGAGGATATTGGAAATTTTATCAAAGCCTATTCGATGATAACTTGTTTTTAACTAGGACAGAGGAATATATAACTGATTTTTTCCGACATAACATAGGTACAGCAAATCCCCTTATTGTATGGGACACTTTTAAATGTGCCTTTAGAGGCCATGCAATTCAGTACTCATCTCGAAAACAAAAGCAATTTAGGTCAAAAGAGTCCATACTAACAAAGGAAATAGAAGGTCTAACAGAACAGATAGATAGCAATAAAAACTGTAACATAGAGGCTCAGAATAAATTAGAGGAAAAACACAAATAAATGGAGAAACTTATTCAAGAAAGATTAAGTGTAATATATTATAAAAAATAAAGCAAACTGAATGGAATATGGGGAAAAATGCACCACATTATTTTTTAATCTTCAACATAGGAATGCTACCAAAAATAATTTAATGAAACTGGTTACAAATGACGGAGTTCCCATTATTCACCAAATTATATTTTGAAGGAGGAAACAAAGTACTTTAAGCATATGTTTTCGTTTCAGTCGCCTCCATCTCCTCTAACTGAAGCTAATTGTAGAGATTTTTTTTCTATTGATAATTTAAAATTAACAGCCATACAGAAAGACTCATGTGAAGGTGAAATTACAGAGGAGGAACTTCTGGATGCAATTAAAGACTTTAAGTCCGGGAAAACTCCAGGGTTGGATGGCATACCAGTCGAGGTATACCAAACCTTTTTTGATATACTAAGAGGACCGTTATTAGCATGTTTTAACCACTCCTATGTAAATGGTAGATTATCTGAAACAGGATACAAGTGGAAAATAAAATCGGCGACCCCTTACACTTCAGTGTTGTGATGCAAAGATTCTAGCAAAATGTATAGCGCATAGAATTAAAAAGGTATTGTCGGATATTATTCATTCTAATCAGACAGGTTTTTTACATGGAAGATACATTGGAGATAATATAAGGCAAGTATTGGAAACAATAGAACACTATGGAAAATATGGGAAACCAGGCCTGCTATTCATAGCAGACTTCGAATAGGCATTTGATAAAGTATGACTGGGGTTTATATATAAATGCCTGGAGCATTTCAATTTTGGAGAATCTCTTATAAAATGGGTTAAAATCATGTATAGTAACCCTAGGTGTAAAATAGTAAATAATGGCTATTTCTCAGAAAGTTTTAAACTGTCAAGAGGAGTGAAACAAGGTTGTCCACTATCGGCATATCTATTTATTGTGGCCATCGAGATGTTAGCTATTAAAATCAGATCCAACAATAATATCAGGGGATTAGAAATCCAGGGCTTAAAAACAAAGGTGTCATTGTACGCTGATGATTAATGTTTTCTTTTAAATCCACAACTAGAATCCCTCCACAGCCTCATAGAAGATCTATATACATTTTCTAATCTCTCTGGATTACAACCAAATTATGACAAATGTACTATATTACGTATTGGATCACTAAAAAATAAAAAATAAATAAATAAAATGGTCTGATGGTGATGTGGATATACTCGGAATACATATCCCAAAGGAAATAAATGATCTCACTTCAATACATTTTAATAGAAATTTAGCAAAGATCTTGCTACCATGGAAAGGTAAATACCTGTCAATTTGTGGAAAAATCACCCTGATTAACTCTTTAGTATTATCCCAGTTTACCTATTTGCTTATGGTCTTGCCTACGCCTAGCGAACAGTTTTTTAAATTATATGAGTAAAAAATATTCAATTTTATTTGGAACGGCAAGCCAGACAAAATTAAACGGGCCTATTTATATAATGAATATGAATTCGGAGGTCAGAAATTATTAAATATTAAAGCATTAGACCTATCACTAAAAGCTTCAGTCATACAAAAGTTATCCTTAAATCCGAACTGGTTCTCTAGCAAATTAGTAAGATTGTCTCACCCAATGTTCAAGAATGGCCTTTTTCCCTTTATTCAGATTACAACCACTCACTTTCAGTTATTTGAAAGGGAAATCATCTCCCAAATACCACTATTTCTAAAACAAGCCATAGAAAGTTGGTTGCAATTTCAATTTAATCCTCCAGAAACAACAGAACAAATAATGCAACAAATATTGTGGTTAAACTCAAATATACAAATTGACAAAAAAGGTATAATCTTCGTAAATGATATCATATGGAAATGTCTGCTCTACCCAAAATTACAACCAAATAATTGCAGCCTTACCGCAAAAATGGAAGAGGAAAGTGGAAGGGAGAGAACGTAAGGAAATTGTCTGTCGGCCTTGCATTAAAGAACATCATTGGTTAAGGAAAACTGTGATAAATAAAAAAGTATATCAGTTTCATTAAAGGACCAAAGGATTGACAGCTGTCCCATATAGATTACAAAATAGTTGGGAAGAGATTTTTGACATACCGATCCCATGGCATAGTGTTTATGAACAGCAAAACGACACCGGATTCAAAACTTAGAATCTTTCAATTTAAATGATTATACAAAATTCTTGCTACCAATAGAATGTTATTTATATGGGGGATACAATCTTCCCAGCTCCGCAGATTTTGCTGCGAAGAGACAGAATCCTTAGGTCATTTGTTTTGGTACTGTCCATTTGTAGCTTGTTTTTGGACACAGGTCCAGGAATAGCTAAAGGGTTGCAATATTTACCTGGAGCTAACCTTGCAGATAGCATTACATTTTTTACATTTTACATTTTAGTCATTTAGCAGACGCTCTTATCCAGAGCGACTTACAGTTAGCATTACTGGGTGATCTGAAAAGTAATAGTCAATCAATCAATAATATAATAATACTTTTAGCAAAAATGTTTATTTTCAATTCACAATCTGTAGAAGCAATGAGAATAGAAAGGTTCAGAACTTTTGTAAGACATCACAGTACAGTTGAAATATATATGGCAAATAGAAATCCTATATGGATGGTGTTAAGCGATAGATGGGAGGTGTTGAATGGAATTGAAGGATGGGACTAATAACAACTAACAACAAATAACAACAAGATAACTAATAATGTAAGCATACTGTGTCCATAATAAGTATATAGGTTGTAGGTTGGGAGCTTTTGTGAAAGAGCACAGTTAGAAAGATATGGCATATAGAAGCAAACCGGATGGACATCATGAAAATGATCGGAGAAGTTGAGGGTAGAGGAAGTTCAGGAGTAAAAACAAACAAAATAGAATTATTGTAAAATGTACTGTGTCCATAAAATGTATATAGTATGTATAAGCTGGAAGGAGATGCCTAAGCTTTGTTGTTCACTAGTTTACTCCAAGTAGGGAAGGGGTGGTGGGGTTGGAAAGTAATTAAAAAAAAATCTCAGACTTGATTTTACCTTATGAAAAATGTATCAACCCCTACAAAAATGTACATTAATTATAATCCACATGATCATTCACATTTCCTGTTACTGCAGGATTATTTTGAACAAGCAGGGAGAGTGAGCTCGTCTGTAGTGGTCGGCGAACCCTCAACCTTCTAGTCTGAAGCCTTGCAAGGCATAGGCTGTGCCACATGGGAAAGTTGATATCCACATTTATAAACACAGGATCGCTACAGTTATTGTTATTTGTGGTCGTAAACATTATTTTGAGTTAGTTCTATGAGGGGGGAGGGTGTTCAATTTATTTTACAGTACAAGGGAAGGGTCATGTGAAAATGCTATTTATTTATGTACTTTTTACCCATTTTTCTCTCCAACTGGTAGTTACAGTCTTGTCCCATCACTGCAACTCCCATACGGACTCGGAGAGGCGAAGGTCGAGAGCCCTCCGTCCCGTGAAACACGACCCTGCCAAGCCTAATTGGACAATGGACATTTCAATTAACATTTTAATTACTGATAGCCTATTGATTATGGAATAATATCTTCTTAATCTTAATGTCTCATAAACTAAGTAGGCCATGTAACATCACAATGTTTGAAGCTAACATGTCAACCTCATGGACTGTCAGTCCTTGCATTGCATCCATTGCCCTGTCTGAATTTGAGACTGCTGCCTATTTCCCCAGCTGTATTTTAGCTGAAACACAGACACAGTTCTTAAAACATGTTTTATTTTAATTTAAGCCTTGTTCATATAGGCAGTTTGAAGTGACTCAAATCATATCTTCTTGCATATCCGATTCGAATCGGTTCTTTTCCCTGCAGTCTGAACAGCCAAAAAGCACATACAATCTGATTCCTGGCCATGCGACCTGTGTCTGAACAATCAAATCTGATTTATTTGCCCTCAGGTGGTTTTTAGACTGTTATTTGGCATATTTTATCGCTGTCTAGCTACTCCTTTGACAAGAACATGTGGAACTAGCTTGTTAATCGTTTACAAACAAATTAGTGAACGTGGTAGAAAGCTAAACAGCTACCTAGTTAGCTAGTTGACTGCTGTGGCTAGCCAGAAAGGACTCGTTTTGAAAGTTGGATCATCTTTTCCTCTGAGGCTTTAAAAATGTTCTTACACTATGATTTTGAACATTCAAATCAACAGAGAAAAGTCTATGGCAGGCATTGTTGTCACCTTAGCTTGCTACATAACTTCTGAGTGATAGGAAGCATGAGCACCACCACCAATCAGCCTACACCACAGTGCACACACCCATCGTTACTATGACAACTAGTGTAGACATGTCAGCAAATCACTGCTGTCTGAACACACACAAATCCTATTTGGTCACTTGTAACTTGCTGTTTGGACAGTCAGTATTCCAAAATGATTTTAAAAAACAAAACTGATTTCAGCATTAAGGCCTGCAGTGTGAACAAGGCTTTAGAGCAGGGGTTTCCAACCCTGTTCCTGGAGAGCTACCCTCCTGTAGGTTTTCGCTCCAACCCCAGTAACTAACCTGGTTCAGCTTATCAACCAGCTAATTATTAGAATCAGGTGTGCTAGATTAGGGTTGGAGTGAAAACCTACAGGACGGTAGCTCTCCAGAAACATGGTTGGACATATTTGATTTAGAGGCATAGCCAGTCTCACGCAACATATTTTCACATTTGATTTTTTTTTAAAGAACACAATACTGTATATACTGTAACTTAAAAATGTTATAGAAAAGAGTAGGGACCACTGGTGATGAGCCAGGCTACGTATGGAATTACCAGGCATTGTCCTCAGGGTACTTCTCATGAGAGATAACGTCAGATCTGGCATTATATCACACAAAGTAAGAATGATTTAAGAATTTGTGTAGCTCTACAAAAAATTGCAAAAGCAATCACTGTGATTTCTAATGGCTTTCGACTGATTTATAACAAACAGGAACACATTTCTCATCCTTGAAGTCGATGGCACAGCACTCACTAATAATCAATTAGCAAGTCTTACAGGCACTGCTAGCAGTAAGGAAACAAAGTGAATGTAATTTTTATCGCGGCAAGAACACATAACAAATACGTGGTGGTTTGGGTCAGAGGTGACACAAAATTAAACAAGTGGCTGAGTCACAGTTGTGACCCAAAGTCCTAAACCATCACAGAGGTCAAACTGAGGTCTCCATCCACCTCCAGGACGTTGACCTGCTGGAGGAGGGTGTGGCGGTGTTTGTAGGTGCTCGTCTGATTCCCGTTGACCACTATCTTGTAGCATTGAGCCTCACATGAAATAGACAGCTGAAAATACAAAACTAGCCTTATTAGTACTCAGTCTCTGATATAGAGAGAGAAACAGTACGGCATCATCTCTAATGAACGTCATGCCACAGTCTGAGTGACTAAACCAGCAAGAAAATCTGTATCAGGAAAGGGCTTGATTGGCATGCTTGGTGCTGAAACAACAAATCATTATTAATCCTCAAAACTGAGATTGTATACAAGCTGCTTCGTGTAACACCAGCCTTGGATGAAAGTGGATGGTTCATGGTGGCTAGTTACCATGAAGGCCTGGCCCCTGTTGAAGGGCATTCCACCAGATCGCTCCTCCTTTCCCCATTGGTCCCTCAGCTTGCTATTGCGTACCACTACGGTCTCGTCAAATCGGGGGTTGTAGTGCAGCGCAATCCCAGAGTTGCACAGTAGGTTAATATGGAACCTATAAGCAAGGAGAAAAGGATAAGATCAGTGTTGGGGAGAAACCATGACAGGAGAACTGCTACAGTTGCACCCTCCAGGATGTTTTGTAGGCCTACTTCTTTCTAAGCCAAGGGCTCATTGACACACACTTGTAATACAATGCAAATGAGGTGAACTAGAATTGCCAAAGTTCTTCTATGCTTTTTTCTTTGGGGAACAACATAAAAAAAATATACTATGATTTTATATTGTGCCTATAACTCCAGGGGAAGTTAATTTCTCACTGTGGTTCCCCTTTACTGTAAAGACAATAAGGCAGGATCAGACCTATTGGCATTGGCGTTAACCACTCCCTGGATGTTGATGGTGCGTCCAGGGTGGAGTCCACCATTGATCATGTTCTTGTATGGAACAGCCTGGATGAAAATGGAAGATTTGAATAAATTATTCATTATGACCAATATACATTGATGCGATACAACAACTAACTAAATTTGCTCAGCAACACTACAGTACAAGAAAGTAGAAGGTCATTTACAAAGAATGCTGGCAACAGGTTACTGTATATTTACTGTAACTGTCACAATCTGTCTAAAGACAATGACAGGGGTTATACTCACAGAACGATACAGTCACTGTACAGAAAGAGGAAGTAGATCACTCTAAACTAAATATGAACTTTAGGGATCTTAAAATTCCCCATCACAGGCACTATCAGTACTACTAAACATAAAACCAACATCTAGAGACTCTGAAAGACAGTGAAAGGAATACAGAAATCACAGATCTGACAAAAAAAATGATAACCAAGAAGTGGTTGGCCAATATATTATCATTATTGATTCAGATACAGATTAACTTACTGGACATCCTGGTTGTGCGGGAAATCCTGATTGCGCAGCAAATCCCGGGTGAGAAGGAAATCCAGGGTGAGAAGGGAATGCAGGGTGAGAAGGGAATCCTGGTTGCACCGGAAATCCTGGTTGCACCGGAAATCCCGGAAAATAAGGGAATACAGGTGGTGCCGGAAATCCTGGCTGTGCAGGAAAGGTGGGCTAAAGGAGATTAAATCACTTTAAATCAGTTGAACTATCTTCAAATTCTCTGTCCATCTAATTAATATGTTAGGTACTACTCACCGCAGGGTTCTGGAAGGCGATGGAGGTCACCTCCACTTTCCCCTCGACTGAGATGGTGTCCACTGCGTCAAACGGGATACGGTGCTTGAAGGTCATGAAATGGTTCCCATTCGCATTCAACTGAAGGCAGAGAACAAAGCACGACCATAAGCAGAGTCATTATGGACCTGAGGACAGTGAGTGAGGGAACAGGTGTCACTCACTCAGTCAGTCACAACTATTCAAGTTATTTTCCAACCCATGAATTGAAATCCATTTTAACTCCTAAACAGACTAGAATCAATTGAGTCACACTGTAAAATAGATAAAAAGAGAATAAAGATACATAACATACAATTTCAAGAAAACGAGTGAACCACCATGTTAGATCATGAATTACTGACTTCATTTAATCATGGGAAGCTCTGTAAGGGTAATATTTTACAGTCATTCACACAGCCACAGACGGAAAATGTAGGATGTAGGATCTTAATTTGATCACTTTTGTTGCTGAGAATTTTCCTACACAGCAGGAAATGCTAACTTTGAGTGTATTCAAGGTTTAAAAAGGCTTCTAAAGTTTGTAATTTCCCCTATAAAAATATCAGACTTTATTTGCCCTAACGAAAAATGTATCAATCCCATTAATTATAATCCACATAATAATTCACATTTCTTGTTGCTGCAGGATTATTTTGACTTAAATTAAGATCATACATCTCTATCCTCCATATACTATAGTAGTGGAGGGTTTGGGTGACCTGGAAGGCGTCCCTCTGGACGGTGATCACGAGGCTGAAGCCGGAGCCATGCTGGAATGGGGACTGCTGCTTCCGCTCCTCTGTCCCCCATTTGGACTGCTGCAAGGTGTTGGCCACCACATATCCAGGGTGACTGTCATAGCGTGGGTTGAAGTGAAGAGCAATGTCCGCCCCTGCCCTAGAACCACACTGCAAATTCACATGGAACCTGAGATAGAGAGAGAGAGCATATGGTTCCGGAGATGTTAAACAGTTCTCCAAACAAGTTTAGAATCTGCACAGAAAATGTGTAGTAGGCATTATCTGGACTAGAATGCACCCACTGAATCTCTGGAAGACAAAGAATGAGGAAATGTGTTAACAAAGCTTATATCGGTGAGTGTTGACCCACCTGTCTGCCCCATGGTGAAGTCTCCCAGTAATAGTGATGGTCTTCCCCTCCTGCAGCCCACCTTGGATAGAGCCGGTGAAAGGGAGTCTCTGGGACAGATAATAAACAGAATAATTGATGATTAACTGAATAGAATAAGAAAGAGCTATTATAGTGCATTCGGAAAGTATTCAGACCCCTTCACTTTCCCATATTTTGTTACGTTACAGCCTTATTCTAAAATTGATTAAATTAAAAATGTTCCTCATCAATCTACATACAATAACCCATAATGACAAAGTGAAAATAGGTTTTTAGACATTTTTGCAAATGTATTAAAAATAAAACAGAAATACCTTATTTACATAAGTATTCAGACCCTTTGCTATGAGACTCGAAATTAAGCTCAGGTGCATCCTATTTACCATTGATCATCCTTGAGATGTTTCTACAACTTAATTGGAGTCCACCTGTGGTAAATCCAATTGATTGGACATGATTTGGGAAAGCACACAACTGTCTATATAAGGTCCTACATTTGACAGTGCATATCAGAGCAAAAACCAAGCCATGAGGTCGAAGGAATTGTCCGTAGAGCTCCGAGACAGGATTGTGTCGAGGCACAGATCTGGGGAAGGGTACCAAAACATTTCTGCAGCATTGAAGGTCCCCAAGAACACAATGCCCTCCATCATTCTTAAATGGAAGAAGTTTGGAACCACCAAGACTCTTCCTAGAGCTGGCTGCCCCGGCCAAACTGAGCAGTTGGGGGAGAAGTGCCTTGGTCAGGGAGGTGACCAAGAACCTGATGGTCACTCTGACAGAGCTCCACAGTACCTCTGTGGAGATGGGAGAACCTTCCAGAAGGACAACCATCTCTGCAGCACTCCACCAATCAGGCATTTATGGTAGAGTGGCCAGACGGAAGCCACTCCTCAGTAAAAGGCACATGACAGCCCGCTTGGAATTTGCCAAAAGGCACCTAAAAAGGACTCTCAGACCATGAGAAACAAGGTGAAATCTGATGAAATCAAGATTGAACTCTTTGGCCTGAATGCCAAACGTCACGTCTGGAGGAAACCTGGCACCATCCCTACAGTGAAGCATGGTGGTGGCAGCATCATGCTGTGGGGATGTTTTTCAGCGGCAGGGAGACTAGTCAGGATCGAGGGAAAGGATCCTTGAACGGAGCAAAGTACAGAGAGATCCTTGATGAAAACCTGCTCCAGAGCACTCAGGACCTCAGACTGAGGCGAAGGTTCACCTTCCAACAGGACAACGACCCAAAGCACACAGCCAAGACAACGCAGGAGTGGCTTCGGGACAAGTCTCTGAATGTCCTTGAGTGGCCCAGCCAGAGCCCGGACTTGAACACGATCGAACATCTCTGGAGTGACCTGAAAATAGCTGTGCAGCGACGCTCCCCATCCAACCTGACAGAGCTTGAGAGGATCTGCAAAGAAGAATGGGAGAAACTCCCCAAATACAGGTGTGCCAAGCTTGTAGCGTCATACCCAAGAAAACTCAAGGCTGTAATCGCTGCCAAAGGTGCTTCAACAAAGTACTGAGTAAAGGGTCTGAATACTTATGTAAATGTTATATTTCAGTTGTGTTTTGTTTGTTTTGCAAAAAAATCAGAAAACCTATTTTTGCTTTGTCATTAAGGGGTATTGTGTGTAGATTGATGGGGGGGGGGGACAATTTAATCAATTTTAGGATAAGGCTGTAATGTAACAACATTTGGAAAAAGTCAAGGGGTCTGAATACTTTCCGAATGCACTGTCTGTAGGCTAGAGGCCATTGACTCTTTCCTCTTTCCTACAGCCCCCATGACTTCCTGTGTGATAATTATTAATAGGCCTAAGTCTACATAACAGTATACGTGAGACATTCACGGTAGCCTAATAACATAAATGTTACATTTGCACAATAGCATTAATTGATACTATGAATGTCTAGCTATGCATCTATTGATTTTAGCATTCAATCTATGAACAGAAAAAGGCAGACTACAACTGGGAAAATAATGTATTTACTGAGAAGCAGGGGGAGCCCATTATGATTACCAGATGTGACCGTAAACACACGCCAAACTATCCCAAAGTTAAACGTTAAGAACATCTACATTTTAAATACACAACACAACAAATCACATAATAAATGGATAGAATAAACATACCGGATTATAAAAAGGTTCCTGGTTATAAAATGCCATTTCTCCAAATCTAACTGTCAGTCGAAGCTCTTTTTTCTCAGTTGCTCAACGCTCTCTTCTCAGTGATGATAGAATTTCAGAGATGTTCAGTTTCGTTTTGTCATGCGTTGACGGGTGCAGAGGAGGAAGTTAGTAACAATGTGGCCTAGTTTACAATGTCCTGGTTTAAATGTAGGGGTTTTGACCTAAGGAATACCTCTGTCAAAATACATGTATATCTGCTGCAGTTGCGCAATATCTGTGTTGCCCTAATTGGTAGCCCTACACACAGACTAGTCAAGAGACGATGCGCGCCGATAGATTGTTATGCTTTTTCAATCATTAACCATCAATCACTCACAGTCATATGATGTTGTCGGGCAGTTGAGTCAGTTTGCTGCGTATAGAGGTCAGTTTGTCTCGATGCACACACATGCTAACATTTCCATGGAAAATATAATCCTAATGGTACCTTTTTAATTTCTAATAATTTCTTATTCCATATCCTAATGAATTGCCCTATTGACACCTCAAACCGAGACAACTAACTGTAGGATACCACTGTCCTTTAGCCTGCTGAGGAAGGTGGAGAAGCAGAACAATGGGGTCAGTTTTATGCTTCTTTTGTAACCAATTGGGAGGTGGGATTTACATGTTGTGAAGTCATAAATACCAGTTTGATGCATTCAAGTGCTTTGATCTAGTTGAGAAACGCTGATTGGCTAGTGGCCAACAAGCTGGGTAAACCAAAAGCTAAAAGTACAGCTATCATGCTTGCAAACAAATTATAGTGTTCAAAATCCATATTCATAGATTGCTTTTTATAAATAATGTTTTGTTGTTGCATTTAACTGCCGAAAATGCTGTTATCGAGGTCATTTCCTTAGTAGGTGAAGTCAGAGGCCACCATGTGGGAGAAGTGGGAGCTGAGGATGATAGATGAGTTTCCTACTAGTAATTACCAGTTGGAGGGAGAGTTGTTCAACTGTATTTTTCCCCAGTCGTATGTGGTAATTTCCCACTGCCCACTTGGATACGAATGCAGCATGAGTGCTTTAGATGACTGGGAACCACATGATCACTTTCCAAACAGGATGATGACTAAGGGGCCCCACATCCAAGTTAGATATTACAGTAAACCCTTACTCTGGCTGGGAGGGCCAGTGAGGGTGGAGGCTTTTGCTCTAGCCAAGCAGTAAGATACCTTTTAAAACATGGTCTTCTACCATATAGATTTGTTATGTCAGCTTTGTCATCACTGTCTGTCCTGGTCTACCAGTGTGTAATAACATTTAACCCTATGCATTCATCAATTGTTATTATCAGCAATTGGAGGTGCTAAGGCTACAGCGCATGCATGGCACAACTGAATAGTTTTAAAGAATACATAAATGAAACACACAAATTGTGCAATATTTTTGAAAACCTTGGTCATTGAAACTTACAAAATATCAAGAGCTTGTGGTTAAAGAAATCATGCTTCACTTTAACATGACCTTTGAACCTAAGCATTAACCTGGTATGACATTGGCTGCTGTGTTCCAAACAGCATTGGTGCATTCTGTACCATTTCCACATGTAAGTAGCCATTCATATCTAGTAGTAAAAAGGAATACAATTCCTTGGGGGAAAGGACAAAAACTGAACACCATTTGAAGCTAAAGTTGCTTGTTTATGGCCACCTTGTTGCATACTGCACAGTTTAACAATGTCATAGGTCATGCCCTAACATTGACGTTACAGATCATTATCACTGGTGTTGCAAAATCTTCAACAAACCAAGGGAATATGACTTTCAGATGATATCTCTAGCAGAACTTCCCAAAATGTATATTTACACTGAACAAAAATATAAAAGCAACATTTAAAGAGTTGGTCCCATGTTTCATGACCTGAAATAAAAGATCCCAGAAATGTTCCATACGCACAAAAAGCTTATTTCTCTCAAATGTACATCCCTGTTAGTGAGCATTTCTCCTTTGCCTCAGCTCAGTTGGTAGAGCATGGCACTTGCAACGCCAGGGTTGTGGGTTCGATTCCCACGGTGGGCCAGTATGAAAAATTTATGCACTGTAAGTCGCTCTGGATAAGAGTGTCTGCTAAATGACTAAAATGTAAATGTAATAACCTGACAGGTGTGGCATATCAAGAAGCAGATTGAAACGCATGATCATTACACAGGTGCACCTTGTGCTGGGGACAATAAAAAAGGCCACTCTAAAATGTGCAGTTTTGTCACACAACACAGTGCCACAGATGTCTCAAGTTTTGAGGGAGTGTGCAATTGGCATGCTGACTGCAGGAAGGTCCACCAGAGATGTTGCCAGAGAATGTAATGTTCATTTCTCTACCATAAGCCACCTTCAATGTCATTTTAGAGAATTTGGCAGTATGTCCAACAGGCCTCACAACCGCAGACCACGTGTAACCACGCCAGCCCTCCACATCCGGCTTCTTCACCTGCAGGGTCGTCTGAGACCAGCCACCCGGACAGATTATGAAACTGAGGAGTATTTCTGTCTGTAATAAAGCCCTTTTGTGGGGGAAAACAAATTATGTTTGGCTGGGCCAACTCCCCGGTGGGTGGGCCTGGCTCCCAAGTGGATGGGCCTATGCCCTCCCAGGCCCACCCATGGCTGCGCCCCTGCCCAGTCATGTGAAATCCATAGATTATTTCAATTGACTGATTTCCTTATATGAGCTGTAACTCATTGAAGTAAAAATCATTGAAATTGTTGCATGTTGCGTTTTTATTTTCGTGAGAAGAAATGTGAACTTTCTGATAAGGAGGCACTTCCATTTGTCTCTCCTGGATTCAGTGAGGATCTTTCTAATTTTGGTATTTTAGTAATAATGCCACAAATAGACACATGTATTTGTATTTGTCTCAAAATGTTCTAGAAGATAAATAACCATGTATTACGTTTGTACAGACATTTTGTACATACTGTATATTGCGCTACACACTTTTTGATGTAATCCTGCATATCAGTAGTAGTAGTAATTATGAGGTCAATCAAAGTTTTGAATCCCGGATTGCCTCTTTAAATCATATCAAACACTTGGAGATAAATCAATTGTATAAATGGTGTGGAAATTGTGTGCCTGTAATTTAGCTGCTTAAATCCTTAATATAAAGTGCTACCTTTTTTTCCTAACTGATCATACATTCAAACTGTTGTAAGCATTCCAAAACAAGACACAGAACCAAATGACTTGAGTTTAGTTTTATCGTCTTTCACTGAGGAAACCAGAAACGCTTTCAGAGTGTAGCCACAATCTGTACAAAAATATGCATTCTTATGACATAAAAAACACCAACCCATCTTTAAGTAATGTACAATTTGTTTACACAGTGTTTTGTGAGGGAAAAAATATGTTTAAATCTCTACATAATTAGATGTGAAGTACCTATAATGTAATTTACAATGTAAAATAAAAACTTTGTACACATAATAAAATCAATGTTATCTGTACATTAAATAAAACAATTCTATATATATTTATATATCAGATACATGTATCTTTGTGTTATCACTGCTAACATTAAATCACTGCAGTCTTTCACTGGGTTAATCTGTGGTTGTCCAGCACATTACATTCAGCAACCAACCAAACAAACATGCACACATGTCCCTATACATACGCTACGTACACACACACACACACACACACACACACACAGGGCATGCTGACACAGGCACACAAAGAGTGCACAAGAGGCAAGTCAACATCTTACATTGAACCTCATTATTACTTCCTCTTGCATGCTGAAGGCTACAACCTAAGTTGTAGGGTGTGTTGGGTTCTATTTTCTAATAATTGGATTGAAGTGATGAATAGCTTAGAAGGAATGCATTAATGAGGAGCATAGGTTTGTACTATACTGATATAAATTGTTTCACATAACAGGCTGTGATTCATGTAAGGAACGTTAGGGGGAAGGACAGATAAGACTTGTATTTCTTACAGATACGAACACTCTCTCTTTGTTGTCTGTGAAACCGTCCTTGAACGTAGGTACATAGAGTACAGATTGGGTGCTGATGACTCTACAGGTTATTATGATAGCAACTTATGCCTGGGAACGGTGGAGCGCCAAGGGGTGGAGCGCCAAGGGGTTGGGACTAACCCGTGCGCCAACGGATTGGCTGAGTAAAGTCTAAACCACACTCAGTCCTTTACTCTGATTGGCCAACAGAAGAGGTGGGAACTCTCTGTCAGAGTATTTGAGAAAGAATCTGTAAACAATGGTTTAGTTCTCTGTCTGCCCTGTGTGGTTTTTCAGTGAGCCCGTATACGAACCTTCATACTTATCATACATACATTTTGCATATAATAAATTTAGCTTGGAATTGAATATCTCTTGATTATGTTTTCTCTTATTCCAATACCAGATTTGAATTACGCAATTTCTAACAGGTGAGAGAGGAAAAGAGAGCGAGAGAGAGAGAGAGAGAGAGCGCGAGAGAGCGAGAGAGAGGAAAATTGAAAGAAAGCAAGCGGTTAGACTAGACTGTTTGCATTAGCTACTACTAGCACCAAAATGTCAATACATGAACTGAAGTTAGGCAAAGAACAACAAACTAACAAACAACCCAGGCAGTGCATTATGGTACATTTAGCAAGACAAAGATACACGACTCTATATATTGGTGGCACTATTGGCTGTGATACCAGTTGATGTCATTCTGCTGGGTAGTCCATTCCTCTGAATTCCTCTGAATCTAATACCAAACAGGCTATTCCTATGGATTGATAAGCACCGGGTGCCACTGAGAGATGTGTTATTTGTATATGTAGGGGCAGCGAGACTGAAGGCCCTGACTGCAATGGTCCCGCAGGCAATGATGATGAACCCAGGGCCTTCACACGGAGAGCAAGGAGTGAAGAAGAAAGGAGGATGGGACAGATCAAGGAGAGGAGCGGAGGAGGGATGATTCAACAGGAAAAAAGAAGATGGGGAAACAAGAGTTGATGTTGGGGAGTAAATAGGAGGTGGAGGAGGAGGTGTCCAAGGGAGACAGGGAGGGTGAAGTGGAGCAGGAACAGGTGAAGTCAGTCAGTGGTCATCCAGGAGAGAGCAGCAGCGCCCAGAGAGGAAGAGAGAGAGGGAGGGAGGGAGGGAGGGAGGGAGTGAGACCCAAACAGAGATGACAAGAGAGAGAGGTCTGACAGAAATATTCACAGAAGGGAGGACACAGGAGAGGTGGGACACTCAAGCCTCCAATCACAGAGATGGACAGCATGGAGACAGGGAGAAGGGTAGGGGTGGCATTATTATAAAGTATCCTCTCTTTTAAAACATGGGCAGATTTAGGCATTCAAAACAATCAGCTCTGAAATGAACAGTCACAAACCAAACAGTTTCAACCTTTTGTCCTGTTTAACATTAACTTAAAAATGATCACATTTATTTTAGCAAAAATTCCCTATTGAAGACAACATTTCTTCTCACTGTATAAAGCTGGTAATTTCCATCACAGTCATCCGTTTTAGTTATTTAAATCAAAAGAAAACATAGTAGGCCCAGGTTTGTCAGATGGCTACACCCCTCCACCATAAACATATTCTTATTCACGCACTCATACCAACACCCCATGTTCTCCCGGCTCCATCCAATGTGACATCACTGGAGGGACAGGGATCAACAGGTACATTGTGAGCCATGAGAGAACCCAAAGCCATCAGAGTGGCATCCCCATAGACGTAGGAGAAGTATTATAAATATATACAGTGAGTATATACAGTATATCTCAAATGGGATCCTGGTCTTTAGGATACATACTCAGCTGACTTCCAGAAGTGTCCTGGGTGGGAGAGCCTGCGGTTGAGCTTTGGCAGCTTCTCAAGCATGTCAGTCAGCTGGGTGAAGGAGGGACGCTCTTCTGGCTTGAAGGACCAACAGGCAGACAGTATCTCCTACAGGACAGGAGGGAGGGGGTATTTATCTCACATCCATCATTATGGCTATACACACAATGTACAGTAGATAATAATCCATTCCAACGTTTTGGCTCTGGTAGTACAATGTCAGTCTGTTTTATGATATCACTCGCAAACTGAGGATAATATTGTTTGGTTAATTATCATGTCAATACAGTACACTAAGCTTCCCAGAGGACATCACACTGCTCTTTGACCTTTGACCTTACCGTAACCTCCTTGCCAAGGCTGACCTTTGTCAGGACCTTCTTGATGCCCTCTCCGCTGCCCACCTGCCAGATGGTGGCCTCTGCCGGCTGGTTGGTGAGTGGCCAGCCACGGGCCTGCAGCTCGTACCAAATGGTGCTGGGGATTGAAATATACTGTACCTGAGTCCTAAGCCTGTATACAAACAGCATACACCTACTCACACATTCACTTCATGGGGAGCCACATTTCAGCCTATTTATGTATGTACCCCCCAAAAATCCAGTGTTGTTTGTTTTGAGCAAAGTTTTTAAAAAGCATTCAGATGTCCTATATTTAAGTATACTGAACAAAAATATAAACGCAACATGCAACAATTTCAAAGATTTTACTGAGTTACAGTTCATAGAAGGAAATCAGTCAACTGAAATACAGTGAGGGAAAAAAGTTGTACGTTTTTCCCTGATTTTGTACGTTTGCCCACTGACAAAGAAATGATCAGTCTATCATTTTAATGGTAGGTTTATTTGAACAGTGAGAGACAGAATAACAACAAAAAAATCCAGAAAAACGCATGTCAAAAATGTTATAAATTGATTTGCATTTTAATGAGGGAAATAAGTATTTGACCCCTCTGCAAAACATGACTTAGTACTTGGTGGCAAAACCCTTGTTGGCAATCACAGAGGTCAGACGTTTCTTGTAGTTGGCCACCAGGTTTGCACACATCTCAGGAGGGATTTTGTCCCACTCCTCTTTGCAGATCTTCTCCAAGTCATTAAGGTTTTGAGGCTGACGTTTGGCAACTCGAACCTTCAGCTCCCTCCACAGATTTTCTATGGGATTAAGGTCTGGAGACTGGCTAGGCCACTTCAGGACCTTAATGTGCTTCTTCTTGAGCCACTCCTTTGCTGCCTTGGCCGTGTGTTTTGGGTCATTGTCATGCTGGAATACCCATCCACGACCCATTTTCAATGCCCTGGCTGAGGGAAGGAGGTTCTCACCCAAGATTTGACGGTACTTGGCCCCGTCCATCGTCCCTTTGATGCGGTGAAGTTGTCCTGTCCCCTTAGCAGAAAAACACCCCCAAAGCATAATGTTTCCACCTCCATGTTTGATGGTGGGGATGGTGTTCTTGGGGTCATAGGCAGCATTCCTCCTCCTCCAAACACGGCGAGTTGAGTTGATGCCAAAGAACTCAATTTTGGTCTCATCTGACCACAACACTTTCAACCAGTTCTCCTCTAAATCATTCAGATGTTCATTGGCAAACTTCAGACGGGCATGTATATGTGCTTTCTTGAGCAGGGGGACCTTGCGGGCGCTGCAGGATTTCAGTCCTTCATGGCGTAGTGTGTTACCAATTGTTTTCTTGGTGACTATGGTCCCAGCTGCCTTGAGATCATTGACAAGATCCTCCCGTGTAGTTCTGGGTTGATTCCTCACCGTTCTCATGATCATTGCAACTCCACGAGGTGAGATCTTGCATGGAGCCCCAGGCCGAGGGAGATTGACAGGTCTTTTGTGTTTCTTCCATTTGCGAATAATCACACCAACTGTTGTCACCTTCTCACCAAGCTGCTTGGCGATGGTCTTGTAGCCCATTCCAGCCTTGTGTAGGTCTACAATCTTGTCCCTGACATCCTTGGAGAGCTCTTTGGTCTTGGCCATGGTGGAGAGTTTGGAATCTGATTGATTGATTGCTTCTGTGGACAGGTGTCTTTTATACAGGTAACAAGCTGAGATTAGAAGCACTCCCTTTAAGAGTGTGCTCCTAATCTCGGCTCTTTACCTGTATAAAAGACACCTGCGAGCCAGAAATCTTTCTGATTGAGAGGGGGTCAAATACTTATTTCCCTCATTAAAATGGAAATCAATTTATAACATTTTTGACATGTGTTTTTCTGGATTTTGTTGATGTTATTCTATCTCTCACTGTTCAAATAAACCTACCATTAAAATTATAGACTGATCATTTCTTTGTCAGTGGGCAAACGTACAAAATCAGCAGGGGATCAAATACTTTTTTCCCTCACTGTAGGTCCACCCACTTGGGAGCCAGGCCCACCCACTGGGAAGCCAGGCCCAGCCAATCAGAATCAGTTTTTTCCCACAAAAGGGCTTTATTACAGACAGAAATATTCCTCAGCACCCCCTCCATTCTCTGGCAACAGCTCTGTTGGACATTCCTGCAGTCAGCATGCCAATTGCACGCTCCCTCAAAACTTGAGACATCTGTGGCATTGTGTTGTGTGACAAAACTGCACATTTTATTGTGGCCTTTTATTGTCCCCAGTACAAGGTGCACCTGTGTAATGATCATGGTGTTTAATCAGCAAAGGAGAAATGCTCACTAACACTGATGAAAACAAATGTGTGCACAATATTTTAGAGAAATAAGCTTTTTGTGCATATGGAAAATGTCTGGGATCTTTTATTTCAGCTCATGAAACATGGGAACAACACTTTACATGTTGCGTTTATATTTTTGTTCAGTATAAATGCAGCATTATTATTATGGCAGGATGTAAGATGAGAGGAAGTTGTGTGTACCCAAAGGCGTAGATGTCTGCAGCGTTGGAGAAAGGCAGGCGGTCCTCATGGTTCCCAGTGCCCATCCTGCGGACGATCTCAGGGGCCAGGTAGTAGATCCAGCCATGAGGGAGCCTCAGCTCATTCTCTCGCCTGGACACACACACACAGACCAAGACACACACATCAAGACACACACAGACACACAAACAGACACCCACAGATGGACAACCGTAAACTTTTGATCCTTTATCTGGACTCAAAAGGTGTAGAAGTATACTCCACAGTGTGTTTAACTTTTGACAACGTTTTATTTTGCTTACCTCTTGTGGTACTCTTGTACCACTCCGGACATTCCAAAAAGGCCAAAGTCTGTGATTACCACTTTGTTTGTGTCATAGAACACATTCTTGGACTTCAGGTCCTTGTGAACGATTCCTTTAGCATGAAGGTAGCCCATACCCTGAGGAAGAGGTCAGAGTTGAGTCACTTTCAGTGAAAGGAAGAGTAGGCTACTTACAATGTACTTACAATTCAAGAAAAGTCGAGTAGTACCACACCTTAACAATTTCCTGAGCGATCTGCCTTGTCTTGTTGATGTCTAGCGTGTTCTTGGCATCTCTTACAACAGAGAATAGTGTCCGACCTTTGCAGAAACTGAGAGAAAACAAGAGGAAATGTCAGGGGGAAAAGGAAGTCAAAACAAAGCCTTTCCTGGTTTCCTCATTTGTTAAACCAAGACACATTTAATACCTCTCATAGATTGATTCAAGGGTTCCAGCTTTTCCCTGCTCAACTCCCCTAACCATCCCCACCTCCCTTTCCTCCTTCCCTCCCACTAACCTGGTGATGATGGCGAGGTGTGGCGGGGCCATGCAGGCCCCCATGAAGAGGACCACGTTCTCGTGGCGGGTCTGTCTGTAGTTCATCACCTCCTTCTTAAACAGCTTCAGGTGGTCCTGGTTATTACCATCTATCTCCAGCAGCCGGATGGCCACCTCTCCATGCCAGCGCCCCTTATGCACCTTCCCCCAACGGCCCTGGAATAGGGAGGTACAGTATGGGTACTTGTGTTATTAGCTACCTTGTAGCCTATTTATTTCTGTTCCCATTCAAGGAACTCTAATTGAGTCCATTGGCCTTTTTTTTTGGGGGGGGGGGGGGGGGGGGGGGATACCAATTGATACCAATTGACTTTGAATATGAGCCCTACTACCCCAACTATGTGTAGATACAGCTGTTGTCATATACACTCAGTTGCCAGTTTATTAGGTACACCCATCTAGTACCGGGTCAGACCCCTCTGTAGCCATGAAGGGATGCAACAATGTTCAGACGCTGTGGTGTTCAAACATTACGTGCGCAAGGAAAACATTCCCCACACCATTACACCACTGCCACCAGCCTGTACCGTTGACAACAGGCAGGATGGGGCCTTGGACTCAGCATGATGCAACAGGAACTGGGATTCGTCGGACCAGGCAATGTTTTTCCACTCCTCAATTGTCCAGTGTTGGTGATCGCGTGCCCACTGGAACCTCTTCTTCTTGTTTTTAGCTGATAGGAGTGGAACCCGGTGTGGTCGTCTGCTGCAATAGCCCATCCGTGACAAGGGCCGACGAGTTGTGCGTTCCGAGATACCGTTCTGCACACCACTGTTGTACTGCACCGTTATTTGTCTGTTTGTGGCCCACCTGTTAGCTTGCACAATTCTTGCCATTCTCCTTCGACCTCTCTCATCAACAAGCTGTTTTCACCCACAGGACTGCCGCTGACTGGATGTTTTTTGTTTGTCCCACCATTCTCAGTAAACCATAGACACAATTTTGCGTGAAAAGCCCAGGAGTCCGGCCGTTTCTGAGACACTGGAACCGACGCACCAGGCACCAACGATCATCCCACGCTCAAGGTCACTTTAGCTACTCGTTATGCCCATTCTAACGTTCAATCGTCCAGTAACCTAATGCCTCCATGCCTGTCTGCCTGTATTATATAGCAAGCCACGGCCATGTGACTCACTGTCTGTAGGAGCGAACCATTTTCGTGAACAGGGTGGTGTACCTAATAAACTGACCACTGAGTGTATATTTACCACTATGTAAAGCTATAGTCATTCACCTTGCCAATGAGCTCCCCCAGCTCCAGCTGCTCGTAGGGAATGTCCCACTCCTGCAGGTACACGCTGGTCTGGCTGGCCTTACGAGAGATGGGCCCCCTCCATTGGCCCCCGGCCATTCGGCCCCGGTAGCTGGGCAGGTCCTCTAGCTCATCCCCATCACACTCTCTGTTTGAGTGGCCCTTCTCTCTGCCCTCCCTGCTACCGTTTCCCTCATCCTCCTCTCCTGGGTATTCCTCCTCTTCTGCCTCCTCTTCCTGAATACACAGAGACAAAGCATGCACAAATTGTGTCATGTCAACCCAAACAAAACATACAATTAGGCCGATATTCAATCAATTGCAGATTGCAGATTTCTGGAAATCAGTTTCAGAAGTCTGTTAGATTATTTAGCTGGTTTATTTGCTCACAACAGCACAGGTAGAGAGATTGGAATAAAAACTGAAACCCAAACAGAGAACCAACCTTTTATTAAGTTTTCTATATGGTAAAATGATCATGTCAGTATCATTGCACCACATAATTAACTAGACTAGAGAACTGTCACTAGATCAGGTTATGCTGCTGGGTGGTTTCCCCATTGCAAAAAATGGAACCATCTTCTCTTTCACTTCCTCAGCAACTACCGAACAATACAAACGATTTGTTGAGTTCTTCAAGGCTAAAATCAACACCATTTGACAGAACATTGTATCCTCCAACCTCAACCCCACTCTGGCTCCTACCCCACCACCCATATCTGCTCAGCTGCTTTCAACCTGTTCAACAATTCTCTTCACACTGGGCAGGTGCAGTCACTGTTCAACATCGCTGCCATCACCCCCTTGCTCAAGAAACCATCCCTTGACCATGACTTCCTCTCAAACTACAGGCCTATTTCCAACCTGCCATTTTTATCTGATGTCCTGGAAAAGATGGTGGCAACTCAGCTTCACTCACACCTCAGTGCTAACCAGCTTTATGAAGCTCACCAGTCTGGCTTTAGGCTCTTGCACAGTACTGAGACAGCTCTGGCGACGGTTGTAAATGACCTTCACATGGCTGCAGATACAGGATCCCCCACCATCTTCATTCTTCTCAACCTCAGTGCTGATTTTGACACAGTAGATCACACCATTCTACTGCAGCGCTTCAGAGAGCACACTGCCATCTGCCCTAAACTGGTTTAACTCCTACCTCTCTAACCACAAGCAGTACATCACCCTCGGTGAGGCAAGATCAGAGGAGTACCCCATAGCCTACGGTGTCCCACAAGAGTCAGTGTTAGGACCTATCCTCTTCCTACTCTACATGCTCCCACTTGGCCAGATCTTCAGACAGCACAGTGTCCAATTCCACTGCTACGCAGACGACACACAGGTGTACAGTACATTAAAACAAAGCCTGACTCAACATCTGCTCTGTCAACATTGTCCAACTGTCTGGAAGAGGTCAAATCTTGGATGCAGAACAACTTCCTCCAACTCAACAGCAGCAAGACAGAGGCAATGGTGATAGGCAGCCCCCAGCAGATCACCAACTCCTGCAGCATCCGCCCTGCCATAAACAGCCATATCATCCCCCTCTCCTCATTCATCACTAATTTGGGTTTGAAATTCGTCCCTGCTGTCTCCTTCAATGCCCACATTAGTCACGTCTGTTAAACTCCATTCTTTCACCTGAAGAACATCTCCCGCCTAAGACCCTCTCTCACCACATCTGATGCAGAAAAGCTAATCCATACATTCATTTTCTCCAGAATTGATTATGGGAACGCAGTACTTGGGGCCCTGCCTGCAAATTCAAAACTACAGCTCATCCAAAAGGGTGCTGCAAGGATTCTGACAAAAACTAAAAAGTCTGCCCACATCACCCACCATCCTTGCTGAGCTCCATTGGCTACCTGTTCCTTAAATAATTGACTATAACATTCTCCTCCTCATCTGAAAAAGCCTACATGGCATCTGACCCACCCACCTACCTTGGGGAGCATGCCCTTTCCTCCCAAGCACCACACCTATGGAACTCCCTCCCTGATAATCTCAGGGCTGTTCAGACTGTTGGGGCTTTTAAAGCTGGCCTTAACACTCATCTCTATCAGCTGGTCTACCCTTCCTCCTAGACTTTGACTGTTGCTTTCATAATATAGTTAGATATACATATTTGTTTTTTAAACTATTTTTCTACTTTCTATTTTATTTCATGCACTTTGAGATTATTCTTGTCTAATGAAAAGCGCTTTATAAATGTAATTAATTAATTGTTATTATTATTATATTCCTGCCACCGGGGATTTTGGGTACTCACCACTCCACATTCCTGTCCCTGACATGGAGGGTCTGATTGCGCCAGTTGCTGTGTGTCTCTGTGGGGACAAACATCACCATAAACAGGGGTTCCTAACTTTAACCTAACCCTGTCTAGTAGAAACTATGGTAAACTTTGGTGGGACTTACAGAAGACAATGTGGGTGAAAAACCACAGCATTTTAAATGGTCTGTACTCTGACTCTATATTGACTTTGTCATTAAAAGCTGTTGTCTCTTACCCAGTGTCATGATAGCCTTCAGAGTGTAGTCCAACAGGATACGGTGAAGAGGAAACATCTGTGTGTGGGACACAAATATCTGATTCATAGTAAAACTATTATTTAACTAAGCCAATCTGTCTTCACTTCACTTCAGAGCATGCATCCTCTAAATTGTGATGGCTGCCTCTAACTCTGTCAGACCATACACAGCGCCAAGCAGCACAGTCAGTCAGTTCACCTCTTTGCTCGCCAGAGGGCAGGCATGCACTATAAAAGCCAAAGCTATCAGCATGTAATATTATGGCTCTGCTAAAGGCTTGTCATAAACTACAGCAGCAGACGACAACACATGAAAAGGGGACGGTACTGTACTAGTAGGACGGGACTACAGGACACACAGGGAAGGAGTGGTGTTAACTCATTGTTAACTCACCAGGGAAGATAAACTGTCTAGGTTGTAAATAACTGCCAGCTAAAGGACAAGAGGAGAAACAACCACCAGAGGAAAATGGAGAGGAGAGAGCGATATGATTGGGTTAGACAAGGTTAGACAAGCCACAAGCCGTTAAGGAGATGTTATAATAGGATATGATTAGTGGTAAAAGAGCAAATTAAGTGTGATTAGGAATTGGAATATGATTAGAGATGTGCTATTACTGGCTTAGGGTAGATTTGGAGTTCAGTGTTGTGAGTTAGAGGAACAGAGTAGGAATCTAGAGTCTTTGGGGGAATGCCTGTGAGAGATACTGGCTTAGGGTAGATTTAGAGTTTAGTGTTGTGAGTTAGAGGAACACAGTAGGAATCTAGAGTCTTTGGGGGAATGCCTGTGAGAGATACTGGAGAAGTGTTGCTTTGGAGTAAAACAGAGTGGAACAGAGTAGGAATCTAGAGAGTGCTTGGGCCTGTCATAGTGAGGGCCTGACCTGGGAAGTGGAAGCGGCTGTCTCGGGGCCCTTGGGTGCCGGGCGAGGGGTTGGGGGGCGGCGTGGCGGTGACGCTGGGGGGGTTGCTCTGCTGAAAGGGGGTGGGTGAGGAGGGCGTAGAGGAAGTGGTGGAGGAGGGGTTACTGCTGGAATCCATCTGGCTCAGCATGGGAGGGTAGTCCTGAGAGAGGGTTTTCAACAGAAAGGTTTCATAAATTAAGGTTCAGGACAAATTATAGGTTCCATGTATGGTGACATTACTATTAATACACATACACACATGTATGCTTAAACACTAATTTTCTACCTTTTTGGTTAGCACCTTTGGTAAAGTGCCAAACTGGATTGGTAACTCGGCCGTACGGTCAATTTGATTATTGATATCTGAAGGTACGGATTCTGCCCGGCGGATTTGCGGGACTGAAATATAGGGAACAATGATTCAGTACTAAATTGACATTCTTGGGATGTACCGGGAAAATGATAATTATATTGTGCATTTTTTGTTGTTTTGTATGCAGGAATGGACAAGGGCTTACGTGGGAGAAAAGATATCCTGCAGGGAAGAGCTTCTTTGGTACATTTGTTATGGCACTTTAACCTGGAAGCAGAGGAGACAGTAGTTCGCAGAGGAGCACAGAGTGACTTGATAACAAATGAAAGTGGAGATGTATAGAAGGCTTCTTCTTACTTGCAGTGTTTGCACTTAACACCAAACATCATGTTCCTATGACACACCTGGCATGTCTGTGAGAGCCAGGATTTGGTTGAAAACCTTAGAAGGAGAGAGAGAAGCAAAACATGAATATATTTCACTTATATCACAACTTCTAATGTTGGAGTTGCCTACTGGGTAGTGGACAAACTAGAATGTTCCAGAGAAGTGTGTTAGAATTCTGCCAGATCCCAAATGGTTTTCATTGGAATCTGTTATCTCTTTTCCCCAAACTGTTACGCAAGATCAAAATGAATAAATACACACTTTCCAGTCAGATTAACACTGGGTCTGACTGAGTGTCTGCATAACTCAAATTCTCAGATTCTTGAGGCGCCATTCTCACCAGACCGATGCAAGAAATGTTTGGGGTCTGTGCCAAGGTAGAATGCTGAGCTCAAAACCGGGAATGTATTTTTTTCACAATCCCATCACATACTCCACTAAGACCCAGAGGGCCTCTAGGGCTTAAACAATAGATACGTAAGTATGGTGTCGTACAGGTCTTGATGATGATGATGATGATGATGATGTGTCCTACCTGTGTGTTACAGAGAGGCCGATATCTCTCCTCATCTGTGGAGACCCCCGATGCAATGCCAGGTTATCTGGAAGGGAATGAGAGAGAGGGAGTGTGAGAGGAGCTAGACAGAGGACAGGAGATAGAAAGACAGAGGGAAGAGAGAGAGCCAAACAAAGAGTGGGAGAAAGAAAGAGGGAGAAAAGTGATGGAGTTCCAATCGAGTATGAGGGAAACAGAAAAATAGGAAAAGAGAGAGAGGGAAACGCAGAAAGGCAGAGTTCCCAGGTTCCACTGGGGCATCAGGACTCACGCTCCAGCAGTGTAGGGGTGCCTGGGAGGGTGTAGGGGGCGGTGGCCGGGCCAGGGGTGCGGGCGGAGTCTTCACACCCGTTCCCACTGCTACTGTTGATGTGAACGTTCAGGAGCAGCTTGTTATTCTTCCCACCCCTGCAGAACAGAGAGAGGGTTAGCTGTGTGGGTCACTCAGAGAACAGACACATCATTCACACAGAAACAAACTCATTCCATAGGTTTTGACTCAAACACCCACACTTGCGATGAAAATGGCCACACATATTCAATAGCGAAAACACAAAATAGCTAGTTCAATCAACAAAGGAAAACAGCAAAATAGCTGCCTTCATTTATTTATTTAAAGACGACAGAATACAAAATAGCTAGTTCAATCAACAAAGGAAAACAGCAAAATAGCTGCCTTCATTTATTTATTTAAAGACGACAGAATAGAGAAACACCCACTTTGTGTTGGGCACTGGCTCTTCTATGCGGTTGGCCAGCTGTGACTCTTGGCTCTTGCTGCGTGTGAGGGTGATGTTGAAGGGGAGTTGCAGCAGCTTTCGGGAAGGGGGCGGGGACGTGCGTGGGGGGTGCTTGGTGCGTCTCTTGGAGGGAGGGGAATTGGACAGGAGCAGTGGCGAGGAGGGGAAAGCGTCCGACATGCCTCCTGTATAGACTTGATGCCTTTTATTGTCCACACAGGGTATGACAGTCACAGAAACAGAACGGGCGTGGGCGTGGGGACTGAGGATGGAGCCACGGGGTAGGGTGGTGGGGGTGGAGGGGCGGCGGTCCGAAGGAGGTAAGGTGTTACTGTCGCGGCGGGGCGGCTCTGATATCCAGGGTCCTGGGTCTTCGCTGATGTCCCCACCTAAAGCAGAGGTCAGAGGTTAGAGTTACAAACAGTACTAAACTACAGAGCACACAGCACCAATAAGCAGTGTTATTAATTACAGAAAAATACCATAATGGTGTGACTGACCTGTCTCAGTGGCACTCTTTAGGCAGGAGAGGGCAGCAGTGAGTCGAGAGCACTCCTCTGGTTTGGAGCCCAGCCTTCTCATGGTGTCCTGCACCTGACAACTGGACATCTGCAGCAAAGCATCCAGGGACAGCTTCACAGGTACAGCCTAGAGAGAGAGAGTGAGTGAGAGTGAGAGTATGAGTGAGAGAGAGAGAGAGAGAGAGAGAGAGAGAGAGAGAGAGAGAGAGAGAGAGAGAGAGAGAGAGAGAGAGAGAGAGAGAGAGATGGAGAGAGAGAGAGGATGAGAATGAGAAAGGGAGGATGGAAGGAGACCTGAAACAGTTGGGTAGAAGACTGAGGCAGGGAGGTGTGTGTGCCAGAGATGAAGTAAAGAGAGAAGGGTGAGAGAGAGAGAAACGTGGGCAATGTGTGTGTGTGGTTGTCTCAGACAAGTTGCTATGACATTCTACACAGACGTGCTGTGACACACTATCAACCCAACCCTCAGACAGGACTGTGTCAACCCTGTGTCACTTCAGGGCAGGCAGGGAGTGGGGGACATTGTGTAAGATGTGACATTTGGTCACTCTGGAGGTTACTTGGTGGCTATTTCAAGTCCAATGAAAAACACTATCCTTAAAGGGATAGCTACACTGAACAAAAATATAAATGCAACATGTAAAGTGTTGGTCCCATGTTTCATGACCTGAAATAAAAGATCCCCGAAATGTTCCATACGCACAAATGCTTATTTCTCTAAAATGTTGAGCACAAATTTGTTTACCTCCAAGTTAGTAAACATTTCTCCTTTGCCAAGATAATACATCCACCTGACAGGTGTGCCATATCAAGAAGCTGATTAAACAGCATGATCATGATCCTTGCACAGGTGCACCTTGTGCTGGGGACAATAAAAGGCCTTAGTGGCCACAATGCCACAGATGTCTCAAGTTTTGAGGGAGCTTGCAGTTGGCATGCTGACTGCAGGAATGTCCACCAGAGCTGTTGCCAGATAATTTAATTTTAATTTCTCTACCATAAGCCGCCTCCAACATCGTTTAAGAGAATTTGGCAGTATGTCCAACCGGCCTCACAACCGCAGACCACGTGTATGGCGTCATGTGGGCGAGCGGTTTGCTGATGTCAACGTTGTGAACAGAGTACCCCATGGTGGCGGTGGGGTTATGGTATGGGCAGGCATAAGCTACTGACATTTTATCGATGGCAATTTTAATGCACAGAAATACTGTGATGCAATCCTTAGGCCCATTTTGAGGCCCATTTTTTTAAGGTATCTGTGACCTACAGATGCATATCTGTAATCCCAGTCATGTGACATCCATAGATTAATTTATTTCAGTTGACTGATTTCCTCATATGAACTGTAACTGAGTAAAATATTAGAAATTGTTGCATGTTGCGTTTATATTTTTGTTCAGTATAGTTCACTCAGAGATTTCCGAGATGAGGTACCCCAGTGCTGGACTGGTGAGTTCCGGAATCTACTGGCAAGCCACGAAAATAAGGCTTAACCCATATACCACCATCAACCCCCGTTGTTTTACCGGAATGAATTCTCCCACCTCTGGTCTCCCTACGACAGTCCTCAGCCCAGTGGACCGTACTAACCAGAGTGGTGTGGTAGGGGGGTTTCTGGGATGGAGGCTTAATCACCTGGCAACCATGTGCTTCCTGCATTGTCTCCATGGTAAATGGATGAAAGAGGTGGGATGAAATGGGCAAAAGGGAGCATGAAGTGGTGTTTGGCCCAGTGAGGGAGGCAGAAGACTGAGGAGTTGGATTTGATCTAGGTCTATTAGTTATTGTCACGATCTGGAGACCACTGAGTATACGTTTCTACAGTCATATCAATGCTGCTCTGGAAAACTGGGGCTTGAATCAACTTCAAAGGCCCTTTGCCTAGTTTCTTACTGTGGCATGTTTATTTTACTGTAGTATCTCACAATACTCATGGAAATAAAAAAGGTATTTCTTTCCCTGCTTCACTGAAATGATGAGACCTGGTTATCAGAATTCTACTTCATAAAGGCTATTCCCAATAACCTAGCTGACCATAACGTTAATATGTCCACACAACAATGGACCTCAATACATTTGACATTCAGAGTCATCAGCTGAGACAAGCACTGAGACTACACAGCTGTAGAATAGCAGGTCACCTTCCCCAAGCCCTCACACTGACTCCCTCACCCCCTAAGAACCACTGGCCTTCACAGCAGGGCCCAGGGGGTTGGGCAACTGGTGACAACAGACATGCCGGGTTCTATTTTCAGTCGTTGTTATTTTGGAAGGGACATGGTTGGGACTAGAGGCCTAGATAAGTGCCCACTTATTCCAGTAGTAGCAGGATCAAAGGGAGGGTGGAGTGGGTGGAAGCGGGCCAGACCAGGGCTACTGTTCTGTATCTGTATCTGGGCAGATGGATAGAGAGGAGAGTCCCAGGATACAGAGCCCCTGGCTGGAACCTAACTTATTTGCCTGTCATGCCTATTGCCTAAGGTATTGCTTCTTCAATAAGCACTGTGGCACTTAATGTGTATTGAGGTGGCAATGGTCTAACGTGGAACTCAATCCCTCCATAGAATGTCACTTTCTTCTTATCAGCAGACATCATTTTTACCCACAACAAAAGACAAGCTGAGCTGGAAATTCACCAGGAAGCAAAGTTTCTAATGGGGGATATGGTTTTGCTTGAAGGTACCTTTAGACTCTTTATCTTAGGACTATATGACACAATCTCAACCAACTGCACTGTCATGCCAGCCAGAGACAAATGTCAGTAGAACATGTCCAACTATTCACTCATCTGCAGAGCACACACAGTAGCTGTGTGTGTGAGAGAGAGAGACACACACACACACACACACACACACACACACACACACACTGCGTGCTGTGGGTTATTATACCGTGTGTGGGGCAGGCCAGAACTTCAAACTGAAAGCGTATGAAAAGGCTGACACATACCGATACCTGGGTATCAGCCTATCTGGGCATGTCATGACTGGCTGTGTTTGGTGTTGACGTAACTGAATAATGATAGAACAGATGACTGACTGACTACACAGAACCAGAGAGAGATTTCCAAAAGCAGCTCAACTAATCAGTCCCTTACCACAAACAGACACATGATTACGCACACCATGAACACACACAAACCACTTATCTCATCCCTGTCCCACCTGCACCCATTAAACCTCTAAAAGTCTTTACTACTATAGCCCATAAAAACGCATTGAATAACACATTCATAAATGGCAACAAAATTAATCATAAGGAATATAAGGTTTTGAAGTGTCATACATCTAGGAGATATACGAAAGCTCAGGAAATATTTTGGTTCTTTTGGACACATATTTAAACCCTTATTTTTGTTGGCACAAAACGACCTCCATACTTCCATTAATTTGTATGCGTTACCTTCAGATGAGTCCCGTTGCACTTGTGGGGGTCGTAGAGCAAAACGGAGAACACCATCGTGTTCGTAAGAGTCTCATCTTTCCAGTGTAAGCCAAACCGTTCGGACGCTACAGACATTTTGTGAGAAGATGAGAACATTTTCGAGATGTCTCATGGTCTGACAAACACCGCTGTAGCTCGGCCACCTTCCACCGCTGATGCAGAAGGCTGACATAGGCAGATGTGGTGGATTGAGACGCAGCCCATGCAGATATCTCTAGCTTAAACTGACAGATTTTGATGTCGGTGTTTTTATTATGTTACTTAGATTGACGCACGAGTCAATAGACTCTTAAGGATTTAATAACACCCAGGACAAGCCCCCTTCGATAAATCATCAAACAAACACACTCATCCAGACACCCACAACACCCAGAACATACACCCACAACACCCAGAACATACACGTGAGCCAGGAGGTGAACACACTAATAGGCCTAGCTACTGGAAGCTACTGGAATATGTTACAGGAGTGGGTCGCAGTTCCGGAGCGACCCACTAGGTGTCATCCTCCGACAACCATAGGCACCTCCTCACTCACAGTCGGGACTAATTATCTGCCTATTGGTGTCACCTGTGTCTATCTGATTCACTTGTGTATTTATGCCCTTACTTCCCTGTGTTCCATTGCTCAGTTTTCTCTGCTAGTTCCTTGATGTCAAGCAGTATGTATCAGTGTCGGATCACGTGACGGAGTTACAGGTACTCGAGAAGTGTTCTCCCTGTGTCATTGTGTTTTTCCAGTCAGAGTTAGTATTTCACATTGTTTGCTGTCAGCCTGTTTTTTGGAGACCTGTTTTTTGGAGACCGTCCTCATTTGTTTTCGTGAATAGTCTGTTGTTTTGTATCCTGGCTTTTGGACCACTAGTAAAGATCCTTGTTTCACCATCCTTGCCTACTGCCTACTGTCTATCCTGCACCGCACCTGGGTCACACCTCACACCAACCCTTACAGAAAACGGAGTCAATATGGACCCAGCGAAGGCAGCACAGTATCATAGCGCATTGGCAGTGCAGGGAGCCTTGTTGGATCAGCATGACCGCAGCCTGCAGCAGATCATCGAGAATCTCCACCAGCTGACGATCGCCATGCAGAGCCAGGTGGACACCTGACCAGCCCCGGCAGCCGGCGGAGCAGAGGCCGCGCCGTCCCAGTCTCGCCTGCGACATCGCGGGAACCCCACCTACCACCTCCGGAGAGGTACGACGGACGTCCAGAGGGCTGCAGGGAATTCCTCACCCAGTGTTCCCTGATGTTCAACCTACAACCCTCCTCCTTCCTGACAGAGCAGAACCGGGTGGCCTACATTATCACTCTGTTGAAGGGTCGGGCCCTTTCCTGGGCTACCTCGGAGTGGGTGAGCCAAACTCCAGCGTGCTCCGACTACTACCAGTTCACCCGGGAGCTACGCAAGGTGTTCGATACCTCTCGAGTGGTGTCAGTGCACGAGGCCGGGAGGCGGCTCACGGCTTGTGGGCAGGGTGAGCGTTCGGTGGGGGACTACTCCGTGGAGTTCCGGACCCGGGCTCGAGAGGCAGGATGGGAGGGGGCCGCCCTGGTCGTCCTGTAGGCGCAGGGGCAATCAGAGGGGATGAAGGACGAACTCTCCTTCAGGGAGCTGCCTGAGCGAATGGATGGCTTTCTTCGACCTCTCGGTGCGGGTGGACAATCGGCATCGTGAGAGGGCGTACGAGAGAGGCATGACGCAAGGCTCGCCTCCGCGGCTCCCTATCAGCCCGGAGGCTTTCCACCGATTCAGGGAGGAGACACCTCAGGAGGAGGCTATGCAGCTGGGGGCTGCGCGCTTGTCCAGGATGGAGAGGCAGAGGCGTCTGCCCCAGGGACGTTGCCGGTACTGCAGCCACGCAGGTCACTACTGCGACTCATGCCCGGAGAAGCCGGGGAAACAGGAGGGTTCGCTAGGATTGGGAGGGGTGCTAGCGAACCAAAACCCCAACTCCAGAGACTCCCGGACTTTCCTCCCCGTCAGGGTTCAGTGGGCCCACGCTGCGCGTAGGGCGCATGCACTGGTGGATTCTGGGGCCGCGGGAAACTTGATGGACGCGGGGCTGGCCCAAGGGTAGAGCGTTCCGTTACTCTCTCTCCGAGCCGGTTCCGGTCATGGGCCTGGACGGCCGCCGTTGGGGTTGGGCTGCATCACCCGATGCACTGTCCCCGTGCGTGTCCGGGTGGTGGGGGGGGGCTATGGGAATATATCCCGTTTTTCATTGTGGACTCTCCGGAGTGTCCCCTCATCCTCGGGCACCCCTGGCTGGTCGCCCACAACACCCGGATAGACTGGTCCATGGGGTGGCTCATCCTGGAGGGAGGCTCCGCCCCGTCCGGTTCCGGTTGCCACCGACCACTCATCAGCCCAAACCCCCGTCCCAGACCACCTACCAGTCCTCACCTCTTCCCCAGGTCCTGCATTCCGTCACCGGCCCAGACCTTGTAGGCGTTCCCCGGGAGTATTGGGATCTGGGGGAGGTGTTTAGTAGGAGGCATGCCAAGGGCCTACCTCCTCACAGGCCTTATTACTGCGCTATCGATCTCCTGCCGGGCGCCATGCACACACAAGGGCGATCGCTTTCCTTGTCCCGACCGGAGAAGCTGGCCATGAGGGACGACCCCATTGTCTCCAACGCCCTGATGGCTGCCCCAGTTTTGTGGGGAATTGATAGGCTGGTCAGAGCAGCGCTACGGCGAGAGCCCGATCCGGGCGGAGGCCCTTCGGGGTGGATGTACATACCCAAGGCTGTGCGCTCGCGACTGCTTCAGTGGGCGCACGCGTCCGACCTCACCAGCCATCCGGGGGTTGCCAGGACATTGGGGTCCCTGCGTAGGAGGCTCTGGTGGCCATCTGCTGAGTGGGATACGCACGCCTTCGTGTCTGCTTGCCCGGTGTGCGCACGCACGAAGAGCTCACGTCAGCCCGCGGCAGGGCTGCTACGACCCCTGCCTATCCCCAAGCGCCCCTATTCCCCGAGCAAGAGGAAGAGGCGGCGATCCCGTCGGGCCATTCAGAGGGGTACGGCGAGTCAACCCAGTGACCTACCGCCTGCAACTTCCCCCCACCATGCAGGTGCATCCCACATTTCATGTGTCCCTCCTCTAGCCCAACGCCACCTGTCCCCTGGCTCCCCCTCCTCGTCCTGTTCCCCCGCTGCGCCTCGTCGGAGGGCAGCCGGCTTTTACGGTGGACCGGATCCTGGACTGCCGGCGGTTGGGGAGGGGTCTCCTATTTCTGGTGAACTGGGAGGGTTATGGGCCGGAGGAGCGGTCCGGGGTGGCCAGGAGGGACATTCTGGACCCAGGGCTGATACAGCATTCACGTGACGGCGTTACAGGTCCTCGAGAAGTGTTCTCCCTGTGTCATTGTGTTTTTCCAGTCAGAGTTAGTATTTCATATTGTTTGCTGTCAGCCTGTTTTTTGGAGACCTATGTGCTCCTCATTTGTTTTCGTGAATAGTCCGTTGTTTTGTATCCTGGCTTTTGGACCACCAGTAAAGATCCTTGTTTCACCATCCTTGCCTACTGCCTACTGTCTATCCTGCACTGCACCTGGGTCACACCTCACACCAACTCTTACAGGAATACATATAGAAACATATGGATGTGTAGTGAGATACCCAATGGGCTGGACGATTCTCTTCTCATCACTCATCTTAAAAAAATGTAAACTAAAAAGTTGGAAATCAATCAATCCACCCATCATTAGCACAAGGGGAAAATCAATGGATTTATTATTGAAATAGCATGGGGGACAGAGAAAAGCAAATTGATACCATTTAAGGCCGTGGCAAACAATAATGCAGGTACTAGGGATGGGGGTGTGAGCATGTTGGTCTGGGCAGAGGAGATGTTGTCAATGTTTGTGTCTGTAAGTTGTTGTTTGTATGTATAAGTTTGTATCTGGAGTGAAATTGAATACTATAAAAGAAAAAGAAAAAAATTAGCAAGGGACACACATGAACACACAGACACATACACAGACACACACACAGACACACACACACAAACACAAACGCAAACACGCACAAATACACACAGACAGGAGCATACTAAAACCTGTTAACATCAACAAACTAAACTAAACAACCACCTCTTAAATCCCCACATTAAAAGAGGCCAGACTAAACAACATTCATCTTCTCTGTACTACTAAATCCCATGTCTTGTGTACTAACACAGTATTATCAGCTAATAACTTACTTAGCGTACACAGAGCTAAAGCTCTATCAACACTGCGGAAACAAGTCACTCTCTAGTAAGTAACCTCTGGCTAACAGGAAACAAGGAAACACCTGGTAAAAACAGCCATGTTGCTGTACAAAAGGCTTTCCTTCAGTAGATCGTTCTAAAGCTTTCCTATAGTACGTACCATGTGCTCCTTACGGACCCTGTTGTGTTGTAGCCTCTTCTCTAATGTCCCAGTGATATCCCTAGCGCTCCAAACTGCTGTCAAAAACACTGTGAGAACTCAACTCCTCTCTTCAGCGCAGTCGCTCACACTCCCTGTTTTTTTATCTCGCTCCCTCCCTCCCTCCCTCCCTCCCTCAGTCCCTGCCCTCCCTTCCCTCCCTCCTTCTCTGTCTCTCTCTCTTTTCTTTCCAAGCAGGCTTCGCCAGATAGCCAGCCTGTCTGTTTTCCTGCTTCTGGCATGCCAAAGCGGTGCATCAGCAACTGGTGGTGGCAAACTCAGTTGATCTCACCTGACCTCTCCCCCCCCCCCCCCCCCCCCCCCCTTTCCTCCCATGGCCAGAGAAGCATTGGGCATAAGAGAACATCTCCATGCTGCCATGGGCATACATACACAACAATGTCACAGGGAAGCCCTACAGAGTAGCCCAACACAACAGCAACCCACCAAACACAGCGTCCCTAGTAACCCCACAAAGCAGCCGCAGTAGAATAGGAGACTGCTATAAACAGTAGTAGTAGAGAATCCCAACAGATGGGCAGTCTGTGCAGCCAGTGACCTCAAGTCTAACAAGCATAGAGACTACTTTATGGGGTTGATTTATATATCTCTCTCAGTCTCTGATGGCACAGGAAGTCCTTCCTCCAGACAGGACCATGAGGACGAGGAGAGACCAATAACTAATCAGTGCTTTGCCACCCAATCTCAGAAGACTGCCTCCACTTCCTCTGAACACCAGCATTTTTCCACAGATCATCGTCCTGGACGCTCCAGATAAGACAAAGGCTGGCTAGAGAACCGAGGATAGTGAGAAGGGAGGATGGAAGAGAGAGGGAGGGAGGGAGGGAGGGGGATATATCTTCCAAAAGGGTACAGGAAACAGAGGATTTGTTGAGGTCCTTTGTACTTTTTCTGCTGTGACCGACCTCCTTCCTCTCTTCCTTGGGGAGAGCCTGTTACTGTAGCTGACCTGAGATTACACTAACTAACCCCTGGTTCTTCATACATGTGTTGATTCAGTCTGGTCCCATGCTGACACCAAATCATCCTTAACACATATTGACATCTCCCATTAGTTGAAGTTGTACACAAGCAAGTCCCAAGTCTTGAAGTAGCTATATACAAGTACATTAGTAAATATTTAGAACAAATTAAAAAAGATGGCAAATTTTAGATGGGTTGATAGGAACGAAAAGTGAAGCTATGCTAACTAAACACAACTCTTTCCCCCTGGTTATCACTGCCTCTTCATACATTTTCCTAAACTGTCCAGTCATGCAAATGTGGTAGACAGGCACGTCTGATCTGAGCTCTGCCCTGAGGGCCATTCCTCACCTCTTCCTGTGTAAACAGTGGCAGTGCCAGGCCGGGGCCCAAAGCCTCCCCCTTGCTCATATCTCCCAGGGTTTACAACGGCTGAGGGCTGGGAGAAGAGCGTTCATTATCTGGGATCTTTTATAGCCTTGTCTGAGATCTGTTTGTGCTGTCTTCCTAACTCCTATGGTCATTGTTACTGCCAGGACTTGGCAAGACAACACAAACAGATATCAGGACCAGGCTAGCTCTTTTAGCACATCGGATCCCAAATGTACCCAACAACAGAGACTGTCAGCCGACTGGTGCCACTTTTAATGTGATGAGGCATGGGTCAATACATTCCTGCACTGTGAGTCATATAGTGAATGGATAAGAGCCCTGGCTAAATGAATGGCCATTGTTGCCAGGACACTTTCATAGGGATGGAAAGACTTTATGGAGTGAATTGACAATCCTGTCCTATGAGCTGTGGTAGCATGGTCCACACAGAAGCTAAAGTAGAGAATGGAGTAGTCTAACCTATTCAATTAAAACAGGTCACCAGATTTACAGGAAAAGTCCAAACATTCTTGTTCTGCAAGAATGCACATTTGTATTAATGGACTCAACAAAACAATGTTGACAAAACAATGACGTCAATCCATTGCAATCCATTACAACTTAACATGCACCTGCTTCTCGCTGTGAGTGGAGAATAATGTTATTTTCAAGTAGACACAGCGTTAGCCTACCTCAGTGTCCCGGACACAGCACCACATGTGCTGCTCTTCACTGGTTTGACCCTATTATCTCCTGGTTTGACCCTACTATCTCCTGGTTTGACAATACTATCTCCTGGTTTGACACTACTATCTCCTGGTTTGACACTACTATCTCCTGGTTTGACACTACTATCTCCTGGATTGACACTACTATCTCCTGGTTTGACACTACTATCTCCTGGTTTGACACTACTATCTCCTGGTTTGACACGACTATCTCCTGGTTTGACACTACTATCTAATAATAATAATAATAATATGCCATTTAGCAGACGCTTTTATCCAAAGCGACTTACAGTCATGTGCGATTGACACTACTATCTCCTGGTTTGACACTACTATCTCCTGGTTTGACACTACTATCACCTGGATTGACACTACTATCTCCTGGATTGACACTACTATCTCCTGGATTGACACTACTATCTCCTGGATTGACACTACTATCTCCTGGATTGACACTACTATCTCCTGGATTGACACTACTATCTCCTGGTTTGACAATACTATCTCCTGGTTTGACACTACTATCTCCTGGTTTGACACTACTATCTCCTGGTTTGACACTACTATCTCCTGGATTGACACTACTATCTCCTGGTTTGACACTACTATCTCCTGGTTTGACACTACTATCTCCTGGTTTGACACGACTATCTCCTGGTTTGACACTACTATCTAATAATAATAATAATAATAATATGCCATTTAGCAGACGCTTTTATCCAAAGCGACTTACAGTCATGTGCGATTGACACTACTATCTCCTGGTTTGACACTACTATCTCCTGGTTTGACACTACTATCACCTGGATTGACACTACTATCTCCTGGATTGACACTACTATCTCCTGGATTGACACTACTATCTCCTGGATTGACACTACTATCTCCTGGATTGACACTACTATCTCCTGGATTGACACTACTATCTCCTGGATTGACACTACTATCTCCTGGATTGACACTACTATCTCCTGGATTGACACTACTATCTCCTGGTTTGACACTACTATCTCCTGGTTTGACACTACTATCTCCTGGATGACACTACTATCTCCTGGATTGACGTAAATTCCTGTGTCGTAGTCTGTAGCAGCGATCCTACACTGTCCAGTGTTACTTGTCTGTGTGTGAGAGAGTGCTTACACCCATTCGTGTGAGTGTGCATATGTGTGGTATGTGGGTAGGCAGGACTGTGTGTATAAATAGCGTTGCAGGCAGGGACAGAGGGGGGAGCAGCTGACTGTGCACATTCTGGGCTCTCCATGCAGAGCCAGAGCCAGGCAGAGCCAGATTGGGTGAGTGTTCATCGTCAGCGAGAGAGAGGGGAATGTTCTTTAGCTGGTGTGGGGCCCTGAAAACACTACAACCTATCCACTAACTCTATAACACACTATGTCTTTAATTCTATCTCTTTCCTTCTATCTCTTTCCCGGAGCTCACTCTTTCTTTCTGTGCCTTAATCTTAATCGTAATCTTAATCTTAATCTTAGGCTTTCTGTAGGACTCTGCAGAATCTCTCATATTGCAGTCTTAATTTGAAGACTTACATAATAAATCTATCTCTCGCTCTCCCGCCCTAATTTTCTCACACACACACATAACACTTCTCCTTCTCCCCTCTTGGCTGATCTTACACATTTAAATGGCCTCCCACTGGGCACAGACGTCATTTCGACGTCTAGTGTTGATTTACATTTGGTTGAGTTGCCAACTACCATGAATTCAATGTGAAATCCCAAAAAAAATATCACCATGTCATTGGATTTAGGTTAAAAGTTGGGTGAAAAAAATTGGAAATTCCCAACGTCATCACATTAAATGTTTTTGTTGAAATGACGTGGAAACAATGCTAATTCAACCAGTTTTTGCCCAGTAGGCTGTATTTGCAAAGAGGGCTTGGTAGAGAGGAGCAGGTTAGACTGGTCTGTGATAGACACAGATTAGTGACAACACGTGGGGCCAGGACACGTATATAACAAAACAGTATCCTCTTTGACAGTTGCCAACTCCTGAATAACATCATCTGGTACAAATCTGCTGGGTGTGCAGTATACGTACATACATATTCTGCCATTTTGGTACAAAGTAAAAACACATAACACCTAAACATAGCCCTGGGTATAGTGAGGGGGGTATGGCTAGAGGCCAGGGATAGGAGCAGGAGCATGGATTGGAGAGGATCACGTGAATAGTTGACTACAGACCAATAGGGTTTGGGGGTGGATAGTTCTCAGAACCCAAAGCGTACAACGACAGTCCTAAATGCAGGTCCTGGAGAGAATAAATTGACGGTAAAAAGAGATCGCTCATTTTCCATTGACAGAACAAACAGTTTCTATAAAAACCAGAGTAAATGTTTTTGTGTCTGTACTAGTCCTGACAAAATAGTGGCAGAAACTCTCCCTGTGAATCTGCTACTGCCAACTGGAAGGGTGGATACAGAGCGGAACTACAAAAGCCTGCTTTCAGCTTCCAGCAAAGGCCTTAATTGCTATGAAATATGCCCTATCATAAGCACGTTACCGTCCAAAAAAAACAAAGACCCAAATCCAAACTGACACAGATAAAGGGAGACGGTACTGCTGGTTCACTAAGGATGCTTTCAATGCATTGGAGGAGTTAACCATGTTCTGTATCAGAAGAGATAACCATGTTCTGTATCAGAAGAGATAACCATGTTCTGTATCAGAAGAGATAACCATGTTCTGCATTGGAGGAGTTAACCATGTTATTTATTGGAGTTAACCATGTTCTTTAATCATGTTTAAAGTTAAACGGCTCACAAGCTGCTCCTATTGTGGACATTTTCATTGGATATTGATGGGAAACCACACCTGTCCTGAAATTATAGTAAGCAATGTGCAGGAATGTCTTCTCTTGAATAACAAACTGTTATGCCATGTCACCATCACCATCATCCAGTCCATGGAATCTGATTGCCCTCTCTAGGTCAGATGCAAACTAACCAAACTAACCTAGGAACTTGAACCATTCAGAGGGGA